CATGGAAGGTGTTCTAGCCACAAAGCATGAGGAATACGATAATGAGTTGACACAAAACCGAGCTTAAAAAACACCTGTTACCTGTAATCATGAGTTAATAGTTGTGATCTGACATATAAAAAGATAAAACTTATATCATAAATAGTTTGAGAGATACAATTTGTATAGCTTACCGCACTCTTCAGTTGTGCGCCAGCTCCAAAACTTGATTTCCCAGCTGGAATCGGGAGAACCTTCAAATCACTGATGGGGTCAGACACAGGATCGGTGGGGATCTCATCAGAAGATTCACGAAGAATAGCATTGAACATTGCCACATCTAGTCTAGCAACAGATTGCTCCATTACCTAGACGCATAATAGATATCACGCAAATTGCGATGCCATATTCAAAAGCATTCCATCAATATAAAAAATAAAGAAACAGAAACATCGTGAAACAGATTACTATATTGAATATTTGAGATATTATTTACAAGCATCATATCATTTGGAAAAGAAGATATTTATTAATTACGCAATGATGGAAATATCTGAGTGTATGGATATACCAATCTACCCAACAAAGGCAAGCAGCCGCATTCATGTCCCCCAGCTCGTACTGGACAAAGTCTTTCACAAGCATCCCTGAAAGCCTTCTTCCAGAGGTCTAATGAAAAGTTACTTTGTTCTTGATCAATTGAACTAGATGTCCTTCTATAGTTTTTCCTTGACCCAGAGTCAACACCTTCATTAAGTTCCTTTGCAGCAACAGACTGCATATGTGGGGTCAAAGTCTGAAAACATTACAGAGAAAGAATCAGATGCAAGACCTTCATTCAGTAAGATAGTATTGAAATTGTAGATTTGAAGGGAAACTCAACGAGGAAAAACAGAGGGAAACAGTTACTCTGACCTGCCACCAGATAGATTCAACTATTCGGGAGAAGATCCACGATTCAATCTTCTCCAGTGTAGACATAAATGTATGTGGGTTATCACAGTCGAAACTTCCATTTAAGAGCTTCATTCCTTCTTTCTTCCCAGAGGAGGGAGCCTTCCATTTTATTGGAGATGACACATTATTTTTTACTTTTCCAGCACCATTCCGGTCAATAGAAGACCCTGGAGACAGAAGTAGTTCTGGTTCCCCGGTAACCTGGCTTATTATTGTTCTCAACACAATGGAATTTGACAGCCAATATGTTAGCCTGTAATCAGAGAAAATTAAAATGAATGAGTCCATAAAACAATTATGAAAACTTCACTTAAACAATTAATAGATGCAGTTCTAAAGCACGGTAAAATAAGCAGACAAGCTTCTTCCCCACAAGTACAATCACTTGGTTTGGTGCGTCAAGCAGACCATGATTGGATTGGATTTATTCCAATTTTAATTTTTAAATCCTGGGGTAGGACCCTTGAATGGAAGGTCCATGTCCTAAATGTTAGGCTTATGCAGCCA